GCCATTCTCCCAATCTTCCAGGGGAGATGTCCTTCAGCTGCTTCTTCGTATCCTCGTTTGCGGTTTCGATCAGCTGGCCAAAGAATGCGCTCACGCCTTCTAACACCGGGTTTCCTCTAACCTTATGCCCCGCTCTCAATCCTGTCTGACAGGCAAAGGTATAAATTGCCACATCTAGCAATTCTGTCAGCTCTTCTGGAAGGCGCTTTTTCGAACCTGTTGTCCCAGACGAAGATGTAGCACACGACGCCATTGTGAATTTCGACGAGGAGATGTTATTTTCCATCGATGTCGATTTTCAATATTCGCACCTAAAAGAGCTCGTTTTCTGATTGGTGCGGGAATAGGGGTGCTTTGTTACCATTATCGATTGTCTCCATCCAAATATGGAAGTCAATGAAAAGGCCGGAAATAGGAAATAAATCACGAGGCCACAAGTTTTTTGCCTGGGTCAGAGAATCTGTATAAATGTCAATGATTGTCAGTGGCCAGTTGTTAATATACGATAAGAGATGCCTTCCTCTAACCCACTGTCACTCCTGCGTCCTCTGTACGATATTGCTGTGTGGCAATTTATTTTGATGAGCGGCTACAAGGCAATTTCAGGAAGGGAATCACCCCGTAACACGCACATATAGTTCACATGGAAAATGCACGTGGTCGTGGCTAATTTTTTATGTAAACTGTTAGAGGTACGTGCCTTCGATCATTTGCAATCACAGCTGCTTGGTGAAGAAGTAAAATCGGCGACTGGAAATTGGGAAGTTGGACAAATAGCAACAACCAAACTGGTCGAATGGTGTCAGGATCAGTGGCGCAGAAAGGATCCCCGTCTTCTTGGGAGCAATGCAGCTTACTCCGAAAACGAGCCGTAAACCATACCATGGTTCGATAACATCCCCGTGTATCATCGGTGCGGGGCGCCATGCCCAAGCTGCAGAAATGAACTCGCTTCTGAATTACCCTCTGAGATGTCCACAGCCCGGGCTATTTTGAACTTTGATGACATCCACGAGAACAACCAAAACGCGGGTGATAGTGAGAATGCTGACAAAAACGATGACAAACGTGGTAATGAGCAAGGTGGTAACGTACCCAAGGAACCCGAATACTGCCCTGCAAGTCCTCAGTTGCGAATGCAGTTGAGATCAAGGAAAAGGAAGCATAATGCCTCCAACTAAGTTGGTTCAAACAGTTCTTGTTATATTTCGATGAAAACACGTTCAAACGCTTTTTTTTTACGTTAAAACGCTATGCGAATCAAAAAGGTGATTTTTCTGTTCGACATTAAAATGTGCGCAGTGGGTTGTTGTTCCTGAGATGCGTCGCACATAAAAAAAAAGAAAGGGATTGCTTGCAGCCTAGCATTGCATATTTTATTACTTCATTCAGTTTATTGCTATTTGCTCAAGTGGTCCTAACATTGTTAAAGTTAAGCGAAAGATCATTGGGATGTTCATTTGAGGCTTTGCAGAAAATACAGAAAATAGACCGATAATACAACCTTGTATCCAAGCTAGTGAAACGCTGTTTAAATCGACAAAGTTTTACAAGTTTGGGTACTTCAATAATCATTTATATCAGAGATACTGTACTGGTCAAAGAACCTCTTTTGTTGTAATATCTATATAGACAGTGACCAATCACAACTAGAAACATTATGCTAAATATTGTAACATCCATCTGTAAAATTACTAATAAAACAAGGTTATGTTCAGATTTGTAACTCTAAGATGATAGCATTAAAATTTTAAGTTAATTAAGTTTTAACAAGATTTAATAAATCCCAAAGTCTTGCCCTGAATAATTAGTTTATGCCAGTGACTATAATATATCAGCAGCCAGCACCACTTTGTTACAAGCAATAACATTACAAAAGGCCTAAAAAAATTGAAGAGGTACACTTGACTTGTAATGTAACATAAAATTCACCTTGTGCCAAAATGACCCACACATGACAATAAGAGTGGAAATTGAATCTGGCACAACACGATGAGCAATTATGGTAACTGATTTCTTTTTGGAAAAATGTTATGTTAAAAATAAAATTTATGTAGAATGTACAAAAAATTCTTGGGAACGGACAATTATTGAACTTAAACATTATTTTGCAAACATGGAAAATTTTTTACCAATATTTCATTTGTAAATTTTTGCAACTTGATGTTATTGTTATTATAAAATCATTATAATATCATTATTTTTACTCACTTTGCTAATCTGTTACTGTTCTAACATCATAGTAACAGTTTTCAATTCACTGATACAGACAAACTTGTCATAAACAGACCCCATTGGGACGAGTGAATGCGTCTGCTTAAGAGGGAGGTCCATTTTTTGGGAGGTCAAAAATGTAGTATTTGTACATGGCTGGGACCACAACTTACTGTCTGCTAGGGGCAAGTGTCTGTTAGCAGAGATTTGACTGTAGTTGGGCAAGTTACCATTTCAAATGTAGTAATACATTTATAATGAAATCCATTGCTTACTCTTCAGAGTACACAGTGATAAGAAAGCATAAAATTTTAATCAGCCACCTCAAATGGCAAAGCTAATGACAAGATCTATACTTTTCAAAGGATGCATTTAACAATGAGAATCCACAAGTACTTTTTTGCAAAAGGGCCATGAACTACCGTAGAGGTTTAAACATCCACATTTTATGATCAAATATTGGATTTCCATCATGTTGTTCTTTTATCATTTCTGCTCTAGCATCTTGTGTGTACAGTTCAAAGCTACTGGATTTCCTGAAAGAAAGGAAAACCGATAATCAGTCAAGCCAAAATGATTATTCTTCATTGACACATATTTTTTTTACACAAGAATCTCACTGCAAATACGAGAATACAATAAAATGAAGTAAGTAAACGGACAGTTGAATTTCAACAATGAGCTAACCAACTGAATGCAATGGAACAATAAAAGAAAGAAAAGGGGCTTCCAGTTTACTTAAGGCTGGTTTACAATTATTCTGGGATGAGCACAAGCATAAGTGCAAGTATAAGTGCTAGCATAACCACAAAAGGTGTTCACAGTTGTGATAAGCACAACCTTAGACACCATGCACAAGTGCAGTGTTTTCACAATTCTGATGGATACTGCATGATAAGAGATAGGTCAACTACCAAAGTTGTGCTTGTCCTTGAGCTTATTTCACCTTGGTTCCACCTTGTGAAATAAGCATAAGCACAAGTAAAAGAAAGTGTTTTTGTGTGCTTATTCCTGTGCATGTTTCACCTTGTTGCACATTGGCATTTTCTTGTCACAGAACTGAATCCCTTTTAAACCTGAAACTTTTGTTACTTTTAACAGAATACTTGATTATTCACTTCATACATGAATTAAAAAGTGCATTTTGCTTTTTACTTGAAGATAAGAAAGCTTTTCTGGCCTCATAACAATAGACCAAGATTTTTGCACGTCACTAATATAGACATCTTGCCCATTTTAAAATGATAATGTAATGATGCATTACATCTACATAAACTTTATTCAAACTATAGAATGATACAATCTTCTGTTTTATTTTGTCATCTCATGAATTTCATGATACACTGCACTCTTGGCTGCATAAAAAAAAAACAAAAAAACAAAAAGGCTTTTTCACTTGTGTACATGTAAGTTTGAACATAGGTTTTTTAATTCACATGTAACATACCATCTCCCTGCTCTTTTTATGGTACTATCATCTGCCCCACAACGAGCAGCCCATCGAGCTGCTGATCGTCTGATGCTGTGTGTCGTGAATTCCTTCTCAAAAAGAGCCTTGGACATCTAAATAATATTGAAATTCAGGAAATTAGTTTAAGTAGCTGAATGAAGCGTGTATTCTGGCTGCTTCTCCTAGCTGATGGTTATCTAACAGCATGAACAGATACAGTTTTTTAACTAAATTAGTTACAGATAAATTTAAACTGTATACATCGTACCTCAAGAAAGGTTTTCCTGTAGGTGGTGACCCCACGGGCACAGTTTCGCAGGACAGCACGGTTATTTTTCCCAACCCTTGGGAAAAGGTAACCCCACGAATATCTTCAGTCAAATATGAAAATAATATGATCAGTTTTTTGCTAGACAAGTTCATTTTGAAAGATACCAAATGTATACAACCAGAAAAAAAAAATGCTATTTGCAAAGTCAGTGAATAACTAAATTAAAGTGTAAGGAATCTGTAGCCAAGGGTCAAAACCCTCTACTAATGGGGGGTACTTGATGAGTTGATGAAATTTGATGCCTTTTCTACAAATGGATGGCCATTAATACAACTTGAATGGGAAGGTCACATACAAAAGATCAACTTAGCAGGTGCTCAAAATTCTGAAGGTGATTAAAAGCATTTTTTAAACTAGTTGCTTTTAAGACATGAACTTTTCTTATGTAAACAACACCACTATAGAGCAGTATAAATATTAAAGGGGGGTCCTCCCCTAAATCCACCATTACATGGTGAAAGCTTCGATATTGCAAGTGAATAGTGGAATTATGGGGCTCAAGGGAAACTGTGGGCAAAGTTGCTGGCAGGACACCTGACTCCTTGCAGCCTGGCTGCTCCATTTGAAAAAAAAAAAAAAAAGCAATTGGTTGAAAAATCCAGCCAGCTATGCAAGCCAAAAGTAACCACCCTGGGAATTCAAAAATGTGGTCATAACTATAAATGGTTGCTTGCAAAAATGGAAGGCTAAAAACAAAGGAAAAGACTAATTGGTAGTTCACAAAAACAGATGTGCTTGGACCCTATGACAGCTTTAATTGCAGAATTTGTATAATAATTAAAACAGGGTTTACATAAGGTGTAGTGGCAGTAACCAGAGCTGGTTGCTTAGGAGAGGTTGCAAGGAGTGCTTTGACTGTGTTAAAATGCTGTGGTTCAATTTTATTTCTTGATTCAGTTTTGATTCATCATTGCTCCCTTATAGGTTGATAAATGTCAAACAAAGAGAAATACAAATAGAACCAAGGATAATGTTGAACTAAAACACAAAATTCAAATAAATTCTTTACAAACCTGCTACAAGTAACCATGCAATAAGAGCAGTCACAGGGCACAACTGTTTGTTGAAAGGGTTACTCCACAGGGTAAGTGTAACACCTGAAATCAAATGATTGATGATTAGAATGGTAAAAGCCCGCCTCAAACCCTTCCAAACCAAACCTTTTTGTAGGGTTTTTAGAGGTTATCTTGGGCCCCTTAACGATACCTACAATTGCTACCATGATTTAGCAAGGTTTGATAACTGATCCAGGAACTCTAACACCATCGTCATTGCTTCCATTTACACTAAACAATTTGATATTTATATTGATGACTTTACCTAAGACATGAATAATGACAGCATGTTGTAAGAAAATATTTAAAAAATCAGTATAAACTTTTTAAACTCATTAATAATTTATCATTGTTTCAAATGCAAAGAAGTTATTAAACACTCAAGACAGTGTTATATCATTTATCTGAACACCTTAAATTTCATCAAAAACACTCTGTTCCCGTCGTCAGTAGTGTGTAGTTCCATAAATTATCCCTACCTATCCCACAAAAGAGATTTTTCATAAGACCCTCACCCCCTAGAAATTCCAATTGAGCTTCATACATTTCCTTAAAAGGTTTTGGTCTCTGAGACCCCACCACCAAGAATTTCCAATCCCTTCTGTGGGGGTAGTTTGGACATTTTCTGGAACCACACATTTAGAGTATGACTTCATTAGCAATACTTTATGAAATATTTTCCACAGGGTGAGGAAGGATGGTGGAGGGAGGTTCAGAGACAGCGATGGAAGGGAGGTGTTTTAACTTTAAATTTCTACTTATACATCCACAGGCGGCCCAAGCTCCAGCTGTGAGATGATCATCTTGCGCAATAACAGTCATGGCGGAATTATAAGAGTTTGTATGGGAATATTTACGACCGCTCCAAGGAATAAAAAAATACGTCAAATTCTCAAAAAAAAATACCTCACCTTACTTCCACAGCGTATTGCTTGTTATCTGACCGCTTACTTTGATGAAAAGAGCCCATTTGAGCGAGTTGTTCATTTCGAGGTTTTCAACGTACATAAGAAAAGGCTTTTCTTATGTACGTTGAAAACCTCGAAATGAACAACTCGCTCAAATGGGCTCTTTTCATCAAAGTAAGCGGTCAGATAACAAGCAATACGCTGTGGAAGTAAGGTGAGGTATTTTTTTTTGAGAATTTGACGTATTTTTTTATTCCTTGGAGCGGTCGTAAATATTCCCATACAAACTCTTATAATTCCGCCATGACTGTTATTGCGCAAGATGATCATCTCACAGCTGGAGCTTGGGCCGCCTGTGATACATCTAGTATAAAAAAATAAACTAGGTCAAAAAAAATAACCTGGTTGGAAAAATGACCTAAGGCTAATTTTGACCTGTAACACATATATACCCACCTTTGGCTTTTCTATCTGCCTTTGACCATGGTATTTTTACCTCAATTCGCTTTGGCAATGTAATGGGATCACCTGAAAATAAGATATTATATTAATGGTCATTAACAATATTAATAAAACAATTCAAAAGCAGAAATTTATAAAAACAGATTTGTAGTAGTAATTACTTGCCCAGCCCTTTCAGATATCAAGTCAGGAGTAAAAAATGTATACAGTAAATTATGAAATTGGCTTTTAAAATAAATTTGTGATAAATGTTACATATACTTCATTGTTGTGCAAGACAAGCTATACACTAATCATTACCTAAGGTGAAATTGGCAGGTAACCTCAAGTTCTTCAGCTTGAGACGAAGAGGTTCCTCCCCTCTCAGGAACAGTGCAAAGGAAAACAATGTAACAGTCCATAACCATATACCTCGTAAACCCTATGAAAGTAAACAATTTTTTATCATATAGATAGGTATTGTACTGGTGAATAACATAGCATTACCGATTAGAACTACTAGTCCATTTTCTCCTGAAACAAAAAACAGAGCTCATGGGCTTCCTCAAAATGATTATGTCTGACCCCTCCCTACCAACTAGTTATGCTCCCTCCTTTAATTTTATTATTTATTTCTGATTACCTCTATTGTATTAAGGCAGTATGCACGCATGCGCAGTAGCTGCTGAAGGGTAAATGGTGGTGCCTTCTTGGGCTCATAAGGCACCCTTCCATGCCGGGTGTCCTTAGCAGTAGGTCTTGTAGCCCTCTTCACAAGCTGCTTTATCATCTGAGTAACATCTATGACACATAGATAAAAAAATTATTCTAAACCAGCAGGTCTCTTTTACACATCATTCCACAGGTGGCTGTGCTATTAATATATATAAACATAATAAATAAATTCACCTAGCCCTAAACAACTATTTGATAACTGTTCTAGGGTTAGAACACTATATCATTAACACACCGATCTGTGCTTGTGACTTAAGGAATGTGAATTGCAAATTAAAGCAACCTGCCTATTCAAAACTCTTTAACCCCTGAGGGTGACCAGCATCACATTCTCCTCAAAATATTTAAATAAATGGTTTACATACAGGAACTATTAAACAATAGTCGAGTGTTTCTGTCAAGGAACTATCTACTGATAGTTACCCCACAGAAATTTAATGTTCTTAAAACAAATATGAGCCCAAGAGGTTAAGTTGTGAGGGATAATATCCTAGTTTTAAGAACATCAAATTTCCAAGGGGCAACTATCAGACTGATAGTTGCCCCTTGGATATGTGCACCCAATTAAATATGAGCATTGTGAGTTAGTTTTTACTTTTCAGAATAAAAGACTCAATTGAAAGCTGAAATTTAACAAACAACAAAAAAAACCGACAACAAATACACTAAATACAGTGAATTTGGTTAGTTTTTTGGGGCTGTAGGCCCGCTTGTTTACAGGAAATTTCAAGGAAGGGCACTATCCATCTGAGCATTTTTCTGGGATAGGCACTATAAGATGATAGTGCCCTCCACAGGTAGACACTATCATTGATATATTAGCTTGATAAATGAAGCTTCAAGAGCTAACGTGCTAGATTTTAGAATATCAAATTTCCAAGAAGCAGCTATCAAACCGATAGTTCCAAGACAAGGCATGCCAATTTTAAAAACAATGACACTAAATTATTTTTTTAAATTTCTGGATGAATGATTTGAAAGCTGACATTTTAAAAAAATAAAAAATGAATGAAAAAAAAAAAAAAAAAAAACCGGCAAGAGACCCACCAAATGCAGTGAGTTTAGTGGGGTTTTCCAGTCTGTGGATGACTTTTATCCATCCAGGTATTACCCTCTGACCAGTGCTATGGGCTGATAGTGCCCTCCCCAGATGAACACTATCAGCCAAACTATTACTAAACCAGTCAGAAGCAGAGAACATTCAAGGGTAAACTATATCATAGAGAGTAGAGACAACATTAAGCTCATGAAAATTAAGGAAATAGTCAATAAAACAGGAAGAGAAATGAGCATTTCCTTTTATATTTAACAGCATCAAGCTGATGTGTAAGACTATACATGAATCATTTTATAACCTACCAGGTGACGACATGGGATTTCCCTTTGGCACAACTCGTTGAGAGCCATCTTCAGCAGTAACAATGGCTTCGCTGTATTGCTCCGTGTGCCCAAACGCACAGAACCAATAATTAAAGATGAGTAGCACAATCACCATGCCCATAGGGGGTTGACTGCAAACTTTCAATGATTTCTTCTGTTTTACATTTTCATTGAAGCCAAATCTTTGCTTACAGGTAAAATTGTTCTTATTGATTATAGTAAAAAAAGCAAAAATCAGAAAACCACATTACTGTCTTTGAGAAAATATCCGTGAAAGATGAAAAATCGAGCCAATTTTGGTTGTAACGCGTAACACAATCTCAGTGGTAAAATTTTTAAATACATTTTTCACTGAAAAGAAAGCTCGTTTGAGCAAACAAATTACACCTAATGATAACACACAATAAACACTACATTTGAGCAAAACTTTGACATTTCAAGTTTATTAAAACGCATAGAAAAGATTCATCATTCTTAAGTATCCTTTGTGTAACGCTGGGTTTCAGAATTTGGAAGTACACCAAGTTGTTGTCCGCAGAATGACTGAACTGGAATCCTGTGGGGGAAAAAAACACATTAACCAAATGCTCATACTTGGTGTTCTAAAATAGCGAAAAAATCAGTCTAAAGGATTGACTATAAACGGAGAAATATCAGTGTAAAACAGTCGCTACGGTTTTGTAAAACCTGATTACGCAATAATATTTTTCATCAACTTACCTTCTCCTTCGCTAATATACTTCAAACACGGCAAAGTCAGGTTTCGAAATCGATTACACTTCAATGCTCATAAGTTTCTCTTGTCATTTCCAAGTTTTCGGGTCCATATCTTTAGAAACGGCCAAAATATTCACTTTTGACCAAGTCGCTACGCTTTTTACCATGTTGACGCCATATTGAGAACGGAGTCTCGCCACAAATGCCACCAAAAGCGCTATGAAATCTGCTGTTTGCTCCGCCATTTTCGCCTTCATCTTTTCATCTCCGTGTCGAAAATATCTTGGTAACCTTTCCTATTTTGGTTTCTGCGACGTTATCAAAGGGTTGGGGTCTTCAAGCTCAATAATTTTTCTGAGATTTAGCCATCTGTAAATATCGCTTCGAGTGTGTCGGGAAATGGTGCTCGCCGACAAAGGAAACTCTCGCGTATGAAGATTTTCACCAGATTTAATATTTCTCACGATTTACAGCTCTCACTTTGTGGGAACACGTCGTGGTATTCTCTCTCCAAAATTGATCTCATCTGTCTGTAATTCTATATTTTATCCTTAAGATGAATAGCCTATTGTTACAATCACCCGTTTCGCAATCAGTTCATGCACGTAACATAAAAAGGGTAACACAACTCGCTTCCGGTCACGACAAGTGCGCTTGAAAAGAGATATGGTTAACGAAAAGGAAGAAAAGCTTGCGAGGATCAAAAAGTGGAGGAGGAAAAAGCAGGAAAAGAATAGGCTAAGGAATCTAAAATATAATGAAAAGAATCGCAAAAAGAGCTGAATTTCCAAGAGAAAAATGGTGATGTGATCTTCAAGTTGTAAAAAAGAGGCAGAAAGTCAGTTTTAGAGTGCCAGTTGATCTCACTAGGGAGATACTAGCCTCCATGTAATACAAAATGTTATTATTTCTACTTTTTACTGTGTCAGTGAACTCGAAATTGATTATTTGTGAAAAAAAACACACCTACAAGGGATTATGGGTAAATACAAATTTGAATCAAATGTGACAAAAATAAAATAGTTTGAAATAAATCAGTTGTAATAATAAATGTGAGTTTAAAACAGACCTAAAAAGTGATTTTGTCCCAAACTAGCAATTTTCACATTTTCCATACATGTTACAGAAGTGGGTATGGTGATTGTGCTACTCATCTAAAGGCGGCTGCATAGCCCCTGATAACAGGAGGCTTGAGCCCACGACAACGTAATGTGCCAATTTTCTTCCCTTTTGTTTCACCCATCACCTCTGAAAAAAAAAAATGTTTTAAGATTATTATAAGCACATTTGCACATTTGCCTAAACTCGCACAGTTCTTATCTAATTGGGTATAGTTATAAGTTTCTTGAAGTCCAGAGTATTTCGTTTAAACTGACCTCCACACCATATATTCCTTGTCTTACCATCTAAAAACACGTTTATGTTTAAACCGACAGACCAAAAATAATATTTGCTTGCAGATTTCTCATGCCGAGAAAAACATAAGTTCGCATGGTTTTGGTCTCCCTGCAGAAAGGCCTCAAAAAAGAGTGGCAGCTTTTATGAATTTCTCATAAGGAGCGAAATCCTTCTCATTCGTAAACAGTTAGACTGTTTACATTCCCTAAGGCCTGTTCCAAACGTCGTGCTACTGCCGTGCCGAACTCAAATGAATTTGGCTCGGCAGTGGCACGACGATAGCACGGCAGCGGTTTCAAACGTCGAACCTAATGCAGTCGCGCCAAATTCAAAAGACAAAACAAACCATCCATCCAGCGGTATCGCCCCATCCAAATTTGTTTAAGAAAATTTTAAATGCCAGAAGGCAACGCAGGCGAATGCAACAGTCCATATTGAATACTGTTATTGCAAGGAGAGGATTACTTTTGAAAGTTTTTTCATTTATTCTTCTTCTGGTTTCCCTTGACGAGAGCCAGGAAGTTACTGTATTACGATCGTGCCGGCGTTTCCAAACCCTAACCCTAACCCTAAGCAATTTATTGTCACCGTCGGATTCCTCTTCTCTCAAGCTTTCGGGCAAAACGGGTAGACTTGTCTTTTTTATTAGTGCGCATGCGTAATAATATGCAAATAATGCAAAATCCGTTAAATTAATTTATGAATTGAGTTCGGCGCGACAGTAGCACAACGTTTGAAACCAAGTCGTGCTACTGCCGTGCGGCACGGTAAGGCCTGCCGCGCTAAGTAGTCGTGCCGAACCTAATTCAGCCGTGCCGCGCTTAATGGTTTCAAACGGCGTGCTACTGCCGTGCTTAAATCGAAATTACTATTTCATTTGAGTTCGGCACGGCAGTAGCACGACGTTTGGAACAGGCCTAATTCATTCGTAAAGTCGTCGCCATCTTGAACGGACCGAGGACGTGGGTAACCTGGCCTACGCGTGCCACACAAAGCACATGTTGACCTTTTTCTATCGCGTCTAATTACAATCCCTGCAAGTGAAACAAACACATTTTTTTCTTTGCGTTTCAAACAATGTCTTACAATGCATTCAACAGCAAACTATAGTTTCAAAATATAGCCCTCACTTTTTATACCACGTATTGCGTCAACGCGATTTATGGCTCTAGTAGATTTACCACATTTTGCGATCGCGTTAAAATATGTCTCAGTTCTATTCTTTAACCGGGTTTTGCGTTATTGCAAACTGTGGTTTCAAAAGTATGGACCATAGCCTTTACTTTTTATACCATATATTGCGTTAACGCAATATGTGGTATAAAAAGTAAAGGCTATAGTCCATACTTTTTATACCATATATTGCGTTAACGCAATTTAACGCAATTTATGGCTCTATTAGATGCAACACATTTTTCAATCGCGTTTCTTACTGTTCTTTTACCAGGTTTTGCGTTATTGCAAACTGCGTAATGTTAATGTGTGTAAATAATCACTTATGAGAACGAAATTGTTCGACATTGTTCTATAAACAGAAGTCAGTTAAAAATAGTGTAAATACACCTACTTTTATCTTAAACTACAATTGCATTTAAAGTTGAAAACTTAGAATTTCACACGTCACCGCGTGTTTCAGTTGCACATCCGGCGAGCCTAAATTCGTCGGCCTCATGATCCCTCACGAATAAAACCAATAACAGCGTGATTATTTCAGCTAATTTTGTCATAATCAACGAAATATCTAAGGAATACACTGCGTACGAACTAAACAGCGTTGATCAAATATTTCTTTAAAGAACGCCGACATAACCAAATGTGCATTGGAGAACTCGAAACTTGCGATTACTGTAATTACAAGATCGGTGCTGAAAAGTAATACTTACGCATGAAGGTTTGCAATGTGGCCGCTAAAAAGGGCCTTTTGTTTGGGCCGAAAAGAATGGCATCATCTCCGTTCTGTGCCGCGAACTGCTCCAGTGCGATGAGCCGTAGCTCGTATGTTCTGGAAGTCTTCTCGTCCAGAGCCTGACTCTCATTTTTGGCTGCGAGTCTCGCTCCAGCAGCAAGATTTGGCGCAATTAGCCCCGAGATATCTACTTCGCGGCCACAACTATTTAAATACCGCTCCACATTTGGGCTTCGCCCCTTGTATATTTTGTTCTTGGCCATGACCAGTTTCACCGAAGGCGAGATGCATGTAATTGATAACCAAAGGAAAAAGATACCAAAAGTAACTTTCATGAATCGAGATATTTGATTGGCTTATCTTGTAGGATTTCTACAGCACCCTGTGGTGTTTAGCTACGCATTAACTACCAGAGGATAATCGTTCATTATGATTCATTACATTGAAAACAGCACTGAAGTGCAACATTTGGGAGTAAATATTTTATTTACCAATTTAAAGCAACATCTGCCTAATTTTTCTCACAGTACTCTTGTAAGATACTTGATATATTCATCTTGGGAGGAGGTAAAAGTTCCCTTATACCAGACAAACAAGCTAACCAACAAGCAAACAACAAAAATAGCTTACTAACAATACTGTATCCACACACTTTTAACTTTGGTTTTTGTTTCCAGTTCTTTTAGCAACAATTTATTTCACTTTCAAAGTAAGCCCTGTTACCAGGGCTTGCTAAGTCAGCATGGAAAATTGTAAAATTTTTCTATCCAAATAGGCTTGATTACTGAGAATGAGACACTAGTTTCTTCTCCACTGATAACCTGTATGAAATTTTCAAACACGAATATGGCAAGATAAGGCAAGATCCCAGAAACTAAGAAAGCCTTCTTTATCCATTGACTGAGCTCCTTTAAAGAGGCCTTGATGTGTCTACATAGATGTATCCACCTAAGTTGAGTTGGCTGAATGAGGTCAGTCTAGATACTGATGAAACTATTTCCAGACTCCTCTGATCACATTTGGCCAACATAATCAGCAAATAAGGTGCCATGATGCAAGTAGTCAACAATTATCACATTTTTTATCACTGAATGCAGACTTGGCAATACTTGTTGGAATCTTGTGCAAGGAAGAGTAGGTGTCAGTTTCAATTCATCAAGTGTTCTGGGCTTGATGCTTTTAAGTGATGAAACTAAAACTGACAGGCATTCTGCTGGAAAGTGGTTAAAACTGTGGGAAAAATATATAGGAAAGATGAGCAACTCAGGGCTTCAAAAAAATACCAATCAAGTAAAACATCTGCACAACATTTAGCTTTTGGTCATAAAGTACAGTATAGAACTTGCTGAAGTAAAAAAAAACATGAAAAATACACCTTTAGCAAAAAATATTTTACCCTCTAGCACTCCCTATGTTGAGCAAAACACCTTGAATTGTTATTGATGCGAAATGAATTATTTCTCACTAAGGCAGGTGGACAAATAACTACATGTAATATCTCAATACTTAAATAACATTGGAATTGAAGCCCTTGCCTATACACAAAATCAATATAACCAGTAGTGACTCCTCAGATCAAGCATTGATTACCTTCTTGTTCAAGTTTGAGAATATCCTCCCTTTATAACTGTTTTAACACTAGCAAGATGTTAAATGAGCTGTTACACCATTACAATCCCTGTCACTCTCATTGTTCTAGTGATTCCAACTGTGTTGAAAACATACCTGTTTCATGAGAGCTCTTTCTTTTAGTTGTAAAAAGCATCAAGACATGTAGAATGCATTTTTAAGATCTATTATTATTATTATTATTATTATTATTATTATTATTATTATTATTATTATTATTATTATTATTATAATAAGATACAAAAACCCACCTCAGGTCTAATTTCAAAATTTTTGAGAGCTGGCTGGGATGAGAGAAAACTTCAGACAAAGCAGTGATATCATTATTACCTTTGAAAAAGAGTTTGAAGTAAATCAAATTTAAGTACTTTTAGTATTACCTACTTAACTGTTTTGAATTATGGTTCTTCGTTATTAAGGTGATGAAAGTGTTAGAAATCAATGTCCCACCACTGATGTGGTCACTCCTAAAGTTAAATGTGAGGACAGCTAGGTTAAAACAATTTGCAGCTCACTTCAGTCAGATGAAGAGAGAGGATATGTGCACTGACGAAATGATACTTCTGGTTTCAAAATCAAACAAGTGTACTGCATGGGTTTGATCAGTAAACAACTGTTGCTACAAGTAACAGGGATGTGCAGATTATGTGACAAAATTCAAATCAGTCCTTACTGGTTACAACTCTTACAGTAATCACTGGTTTGATACAATCACTCATTAGAATACACTTCCTACAAGACAATCACAACTTATGCCTTTCAACTTTTCTTTTCATGGCACAAAAATGGTCAGAAATGCAGCTACAAAGCTGCACACAAATGTGATACTGACCTTAACTAATTAGCTTAAAAGGAAAAACCTGATCTGAAATCTCCAAATGTTACTTTGTATCTCTGCAATAGTGTATAATGTCTGAACATTTAGGGTAAGACAATTTGGAGAAATAAAACTTACACAATCCATTCCTTGCCAACTTCAAAGTAATCAGAGTTTTGTTTATGCACAGTGCTGCAATTATGTTTTCACTTAAACCTGCCACAAATGTGAGAACATTACTTGGGTAAGTAGTGAACACATTAAACCCTTTCCACCCATAACACCTCAAAAGCTCTAAGCAATAAAAGACAGGAGGAAGGAAAGCGTTAAGAATGACAAGAAGGGAGAGAGTAAAGGAAAAAAGATGAGGGATGTAACTTAACCATGATTTACAGTTTTTAACTCTTTGACTCTAAAGATCTTGATGTTAATTCTCCCCTCTAGTTTCTACACATTTCCTTTTAAATTAGTCATACGAATTTGGTGATAGATCAAGATAACAACTTCAAACTGATAAGTTTGAGTATTCTCCTGACCTGTTTTCTTGATAATGTGAGAATGTTATAAAGAGAAGTTTCATGTCAATCACCCCTGGGAGTGAAAGGGTTAAGAGAACACAAAAACTATGAACACATTGTAAGTACGTTTTAAAGAAAGAAGTCATTTATCTTGTGGTGATCATGGGAAAAAGAAAATTCTAAGTTTCCAAGAAAAATTTAACTCCAGTTGACCTTCAGAATTATGGTCTACCTCAGAGCTACAACATAATGATGTTGACTATGATTACACTTTTATTTACTGCTGTTCCATCGCTAACACCCCAGGGGTGTGTTATTTCATGATGATTTTCTTTTCATTTACCTCTGAGTTGACAACCACTTATGTCCAGCTCAGTTATTGTGCTACTGGATGAAAGCATTTCAGCCAGGCTGTTGTCACTGTTGGGATCATAATGGTTGCCTTTCACACACACATGTTTCACATTCCTGTTACCTAAAGTAGTGCAATTAACAAAGTCAAAATTTCTAAATTACAAGTTCCTTGATAGTAACAATAAATTACAAACTTGTACAAACTGAATATTGAACAAAACACCTTTGTCTCTCTCTTCACTAAAATATTGCATTTTGAATAAAAATCAACAGGCAATGTGTTGTGGGCCATTTAACATAGCTACAAAGAATTTTAACTTTTCAACTATTGAACATTGTGCAGATCCCGTACAAAAAACCTGAAAACAAACCACAAATAAACAAAGACATTTTTGAGGCTTGCTAAACAGTCAACCCAATAAGCTATTTTTTCTGAAACCCTCTTGCTTTAATTTCAAGCACCTTCTATATAACCATATTCATTTGATAAATGTATAATTATAAGCGTAACAATCAACATATCAAGCAACACAAAAATATAGCAAGCCTTGTGCACTTCCTGACACAATAGACACAGATGATACTGATAGTAATAGTACTTAAAGGGTCTTTAATCAGGTGTTTTTTACCTGTTAATGCCTGGAATAACTGAGCCAGACCAATGGTGTTGATGTCACAGTCTGCCAAAGTCAGAGAGTGAAGAGTGCTGTTTCTTTTTAGTCCCTCTGCAATGAAACTTGCACCCTGCTCCCCAATCATACAGCTCAACTTCATTACTTGAATACCAAAAAACACATCACACATGCTACTTTTTGACAGCAAAGGGTTCTTATTTTGGGAGAAACTTTCAATTGATTCCATGGACTCTGTTGGTTCAGCATTCATTTTGCACCCCACTGATGGTTTCTGGGCACCATCACAATCACCTGTTGGACAACTTGCTTTCCAGCCACCTTTACCACTCTTACAAGCCAAACAATCATGGACAAAGGAACTCCTCTGCTTACTACGAGATTCATGAGTCGAGTCCTCAGTGCTCATGGCAGAGTCACTTAATGGAAATACTGAATCAAACATATTTTCCTGGAACTGCTTGCTTACATTACACTGACATACATCTGTTATTACTTTTCCTAAATACACAGAGGTACTTGGTGAAACTATGTTTGATGAGAATTTCAATTTGGTTAAATATCCATGACTACAGTTGCAATCCTTGTAACATTTACAGCACAAAGAGACCACAAGTCTTTCAAAAAGGAGTTTTGTAAATTCATCATTAACTGGGTTATCTGTGATTTGAAGAGAATGCAGTCCTCCATTAGTACAAAGAAAACTAAGTGTATCTACAAACTCGCTGCCAGGTGTTGACACAAGACCAAGGCCATTATCTTGAAGAATCATCGTTTCCAGGGCCAACCAAGTTTTAAGGGTGTGCACAAACGTCATAAAAATGTCAGTATAAAGCCTGAACCCTACCAACTCAAAGTGAACCAGAAAACATGTATGTCTTGGAAAACAGGTTAATGATGAATCCAATATAGAAGATTTAGGTGAAAATTGGTGTGGTTCTGAAGATTTCTGTAATCCTTGGTTTTCAACAGGGAAAAAGTTATTAACCATGACATCACTTGGCTGTCCATAGGTACTCTGACCAAACACTTCATCATAAAGATCTGAACTCAATGGATCACTAATATTAGTTTCAAATCTTTTCTCACCTCTCCCATACTTGGTGCCTCTACATGAGATGGCTACAGTTCTTTCATGGGTTTTAGGCGAGTCATTCCAGTCATCAAAGGTATAAATATCAATATCATCATTCTCATGAAAAGAGTCCAAGGTACCTTCTTCATTGGCATCTGTAGAGTAATTCAAGATAGAATCAACTTGAACCGAGGCAGTCTTACTGTGTCCACAATTTGACTGATTACAAGTTTGCTGGACAGAGAACTTGCTTTCTTCATTGAATGCTTTACGTTTTGAATTCGGGCTGGAAATACACGTACATGTGCTTATAAAGTTGTCTTCTACCTTGTCAGTTTGATTTTGTGGACTATTTGTTGACAAGGAGTCAAAAATCCTGCTCCACAATTCCACACCAGAAACTTTGGAAAAGCAAAATCCAACAGATTTCAGTCTCCTTGAAGTTAATAGCTGAAGAAGATGACACAGCTGATTGACTCCATTGTTTCTTAAAAGGAAAACCTCAAGAAATTCTACATAATCCACAAGCTTTAAACAGAGGTTCAGATTATCAATCAGTAAAATGACAGCTGAGTTGTAAAGTCGCAAGTATGTTGCATATCTTCCGCAAATGGCGACAATGTTTTCAAGGCTTTGGTTTTTGGAAGAAACAGCAGCATCGCAAGGAATACGCTCAGCATTGAACTCTGTAATGAAAAGTACAGAAACCAAAGAAATCACTGATACAATACAACATAAAGGTAGATGTCACAGAGCTTCAAAAAGGTACATGACAACAGCAAAAATTACCAAAAACTGTTTTATTTTTGCTAAGAGTTCACTCCAGCACATAAATTTAAAATTTGTATTGATTGCAACATCAATCATATTCAACTTCTTGATTAGTTGATTTGTATCTTGTTTGCAGAGAAAAAAGTGATAAATCAGTTTTTTAATAAAGTAACATTCTTACATAATTATTCAAAAAGAGACTTAAGTGCACTTACGTATTTTTCCTTCACTGATTGTGCAACATTCATAAACAATTTATCTTAATTTGTTAATTGTTCTACATATACATGTACCTGCAGAAGAGCAGCAACTGCTCTCCTTATCAAGATCACGTTGACAGTTCAGGGCATCTTGGAGACATCTTTGAAGATAACAAATACGCCAACTCTCACCTCCCTTTGAAATCCCATTTTTGGTAAAATAAACATCAGGCCATTTGCTCTTTCTTGGCCAGGAATGCAAGTAAAACTTTTTCCAAAGTTGATCTGTATCAATTCCTGGTGACAATAACAAAGAAACCATCAGTAAAAAGAAATTGAGGGAAACATTTGACAGCACATTTAAAGATGCTGTACATTAATTTTCAGGTCATAGTAAAACCAGTTTGAGTGGTTTCTCCTTTGCTCTTGGTACATTATTATACTCCTTAATCCTTTAACCCCTAAGAGTGACTAACATCTCATTTCTCCCTAAAGCATCACCCCTGAATCAAATGTTAAGGTCATGAGGATAAAGGAGATGATCATCAACAAAAAGAAGCTCTTGATTGTTGAACAAATTCTCCTTGTCAGAACCCTAAGAAATGTATAGGGAGTAGTATGGAGAATATTTGCACTGATGTAGGGAGTAAAGGGTTAAACAGAGGAAAGTACAAAACAAACTACAAAAAAATTAAGGGGGAAAGTTTCTTGATGAACTGTGGTGCTGTGTTAGTGGGAGTGTAACAAGATAATTTGGTTTTATCAACTGGGTTTATAACATAGCTAGTAAATTTGTCTACTCAAATTCAATTGCGCAAGCATGCTTCATATTCCTATTAGGCACGCTCACGACGTCAGCAAACAAATCCCTCAAGGAAAAAAATTTTCTATTGGGTTGAAAATGTTATAAAACAATTGGTTCATATGTCAGCTGTGCATTCATCAATATATGAAGCACTTGGGAAGTTTGGAGAGCACTCAAGAAGCTAGAGTTGCTCTCGGCTACACCTCAAACAACTCTTATGCATCTTTCGTGCTCTCCAAACTTCCCACGTGCTTCATATCTCGATGAACGCATGCTGACGTATGAACCAATCATTAATGATTAAATAGGCCACAAATGAGACTTTCTCAAACTGACTTGTGAGAGTTCTATTGGCTGTGACAAAGGACTAATGTTCAAAATGTCACCTTTAAAAACTTTCCACTGGGGCCAACTCACAAATTATCACACAAAACAAATTTATCCCAAATTAATTGTTAAACAAAAGCATCAGTATAAGTAATTATGACCTATATTATTCATAAAATATTTTGTAATAAAGAACAAAATACCATATGATATAGACCCATGACATTCGAAAAAAGGTAAATCATCATATAAAACAAAACTACACATAGGTTGATAATGAGAAGAAAGTAAATGATTGCCAACCTAAAAAGTTTAGATTGCTAAACAAATTCTCCTTGTCAGCACCAAAGAAAATGTATAGAGAACAGTATAGAGAAAATGGATATTGATGTTAGGGTGTGAAGGGTTAAAAGGACTACCACAAAATGTACATGGTGGTATATTCTGCCATGTCCAGGGGTACAGCTGTGCTTAAGTCTTTCTTACCAACAGTTTGGAAAATGCCACTGACTTCAAGCCTTTCTACATCAAAAGGATGGAAATTCTCTAAAATTGGAAGAAGGAGATGTCTTGGAATTCCTGAAAGTTTTATAAAGCAAAAGCACAACAAGCGTAAGCTAGGTTAGACAACAGTGCACTGTTTATTTACATAATAATTCAATTTAACCCTTTAACTCCCAGATCAAATTTGTATTTCTCTTTTCTGTCAACCATACAATTTTCATGATGTTACTTCAGAGAATTTAGTATTGGATCAACCAATTATCCCCAAATTGATATTGTTCTTTATTCTCATCTCTTATCTGGTCGATATTATATTGATATTGTATGGAGAAATTCTGTCATTGTCACTCATGGGACTTAAAGGGTTAAAAAGTTATGCATTTCTGATTGACTGAAAATGCATGCAGTTTCATGTCACTTGAGTGAAAAGTTGTGATGTAAGTGCAAATTCCAAATAGCATGCTCACTGTCAAAATTTTTCTATGATGCATTTTCATGTAAATTATTAACAAGTAATTACATGATTTGTAGTCTTTGAAAAATTTACAAGTGCTAATTACACCAAGTTGCACTCAAAATCATGATATTACTTGTTAATAGTGTACATATAAAACATATTGCAGGAAGTCAAGACTGACAGAATTTTGAAAGCGTGTGCATACTATTTATAACTTGCTCCCATGTTCCAATTTTTGCACTCATGTTACATGAGAATGCAATCGTTTTCAGCCGATCAGAAGCGCGTAATTTTTCATGTCTATTATTAATAATGTCATTGCCTAAACATACATGTAATATAATGTAAGGATAATATAATTAAACTATACTTTTTAAGGACAACCGAAAGGTACGCAAGAAAGCACACATTTCCCATTGTTTGTGAGTGCTAAATGACTATTTTAAAAGAGAATCATCGACGTTTTCATTGTGTGTAAAATGGGGTGCATTGTTGTAAACTCGTTCTGGTATTATATCATCACGCTCGTTCATGCAGTCACTTAGTTGTCACCCAAAGCAACCCTCAAGGCAATCACGTCCCAAAATCAGCAAATTGATTTCACCAAATGTTACACACCTAAGAGAACTTTAGGATCCCAGAGGTTTCCATGAGCAGATACAAATCTTATGCATAAATCTTCAAGTCTGAGAAAATGATCCTCGCGTCCGCCCGCCATATTTGATTATTGAAGTGGATTGGCGGCGGACTGGACACTATACAGGTAACACGAGTCGCGTGACCTTTACTGTACTGGTTCATAGAGTGTCCTGAACTTTTTTCACTTTCTTGCTTTACCTCCATTGAGGATCTCCAGTAGGTTTTTCGGGATCCGGGAATTTAAAGTAAGAAAGGAGCGAGATGCGGGATTTCTATTATGAACGGGACACGGGAATCGGCGATTTTGAGAAGCGGGATTCGGAAAATAATCACTTAAACGAACCGAGAACCGGGATGTCCGTTGACGAGAATTTGTGGAGAAATTGATCTTCTCAGTCATGAAAAGCACCAGGTATACAGGCTCTCTAGCATTCAAGAGGCGGCTGGGCTGCTCAGCGACACTCTTCAGTTATTGTGCGGGAATGAAAATTATATCAGAAGCGAAGTTGCCAATTTATCAAAAAACCTCCATGGCCCACAGGGTAACGTGGTCTAAGACTGTTACGTCGATTGAAATGCTTGAAAAATGCGTTGAAAAACCTCCAGCAAGTCTCGGAATTATACCGATATGATGCTCTTAGCCTGTTGAGTTACATGACACTCGATGTGAAGAACATTCACTCGGTTGTGCATCACAAAGATAAACTTTTCACGGTGTTAGACTACCCAAGGAACTTTGGAAATGTAGCCTAAGAAGGCTTAATGAGGACAACCCATTGGGCGGCGTACTATTTTACAAATCCAAATTCTTGGTATCCTTTACCCGAACGTGCCAGGATCCTGTCGGCCATACCAGCAATTCAACCGTTACCACCTGTGCCGATGGCACCACAGAGCATACAGAAGATAAGGGACTGGGCGTAAACATTTGCTGCAACAGTAAACAACGATGGCAAGAGCTGCAACTTCCCGTCGTACCTCTATCAGAGAGAAATTTAGCCAGTCGAACTGGTCAGCCTCGAACGCTCTGACTTCGAGGAGCAGCAAGAAAACAGCGGGAAACAAGACGAAGAGGAAGATGGAATATTGGAGTACAATTCCCCGAGTGATGACGATGACATTCCATCTTTGGAACGAGAGGCTGATTTTTATCTCAGAAGGGGTTCCCGCTTCGGAAGAAGTATTCGCCTCAACAGCAGAATTGTGTTCAGTTAATTTTTCTTTATCTCCGTTGTTATGGAACTATGAAATTACCGTGACCGTGACCTTTAGTGTTTTCTGCACTTGTTGAAATTCCTATTCGTTTCTTTGATACTGACCTGTCTGTGATCGAAGTTTAATGAAAGGAAGTCGTTACCGCAAGTTATTCGTGCAAAACTGAGGCTTCTAAAATGAACAATATCATCATCTTGGTGACAAGAGATTAACTAAAGCCTTACGGTGACTATAGACTTCAACGGATCGATGCTGGCTAAGAAAATCATCACGCACCGGAAAGGCCCTTTTAAGTTTAGGAAATAATGGGTTAAGACAGAATTGTATGATCGGGATCAGGATTGGTCGGTATAAACCGTCGGGATTACAGGATTGGGAGAAAATTTTAGTCGGGATCGCGGGATTGAAGAACCTTATTGGGAACCTTCTCCATTTTTGCCAATGCGAAACACAAACATGTGGATATTTTCACTGTTTTGGATCAGAAAAAAGCACAATGAGTTTAAATGGGAGCAGTTAAAAAGACGGTCATTATAGAGGCAGCCAGTGGCAAATCGTAAGCATTGATGCAAGGAAATTCCCAGTAATTTGTGCGAACGTTCAAAAGGTAATTTTTCTGTTTCTACGCTTTCTACAACTTATAACCTAACATTGTACGACAAGGTTGGCCGATATTCACAAAACAAAACGTGTTTCGAAAAATTTAAAAAGGGGCATAATATTGAATCCTCAAGGGTCCTCAAGAGGTTTTTGACCGCTTGGCGGCTGATATAACGTGATGCTCAATTAAGCTTGGTTGCCTAAACAGTCCGAGTTTATGTTACAACTAAAACTGTGTTACCCTTGAAAGTCTTACACCTGAAATCGGATAACGTTTATCGGGCCATTTAGAGATGATGCGGTTAGTGTTTCGTGTGTGAGGATATGGTCAATCGTGTTTTCATCCGATATTTTGTGGTTGACAGCGGGACTCGACACATGTAAGAGAGGCCAACTGAAGTTGTACGCTTTATCTCGCTTGATTTCGGTGAACTTTTAAGTCTCGTGAAATGTCTGTTTAGGAAATTTCTTCAGTTTTGTGGGATGAAAATTTCTAACCAAACATGAGGTTAAACATATGTGACCCTCGAGAACACATTGTAATGACCACGATAGCAAGTAACGATAGAAAACCTCACTTCAGCTGATTTTTACTTGATGTCACTTATTGTTTATTTCGGAGTATCTTCGTAGATCGACATTCGCACTAGAGATTATTGGGCGCAGCATACACTAAAGAAAGAATACTGCCTTTGAAACAAATTATTTTTTGCCTGTGAAAAAAACCCCGAATGTTATTTTTTCAGTTCTTGCCTTGACAATACAGAAGACGATAAACATCTCACAATCATTTCAGGATAAAACAAAACTTTTCCTTGCAGGAATACCTTATTAGGTGTGATCGGTGCATCATGAAAACTTGGAGGAATTTTTTTTTTCTCTGAAAAGAAAGCATTTTACCGTTTGAATCAGTGAATTATGCCAGACCCTTTTCAGTAATCGTTAACCCTAACGTCAGCTTTTAGACTCTTTACGGTGGCCAATTTACGTTATCAATTCAGTTGATAATACTAAATCACCCCGTTATCCTTTTTAGAACTTATCATTTTCCATAATATTCCTAATTGGGTTTGGCGTTCTGCACTGGATCGACTGTTATCCACAATAAATGATGTTAATATGCAGTATGACTTTTTTACATGTCTCGCGATTTTTTCAACTGTGCGTACGACATTTTTGTGGTGATGCTTTATTTAGAGCCCTCATGAGATTGCTCACTGATTAGCTGACTAAGGGCCTGATTACATGAGCTGGGCTGATTCGGTTAGGCCGGAACTGTTTCGGCACTTTTGTTTAAAGCAACTTCGCGATTACACGACAACATAGCCAGATCCTGGGAAACCGAGCTGGCCCGGTTTCCATGCCATCACGTAGTTGATTTTGTGGCCTTAAACCAAGAGAAAAAAATGCGACAAACAAAAGTGCCGAGATTTCAATAAAACCGAGTCAGGCTGGCCAACCCGGCCAGCCCGGCTCATTTCATCAGGCCATAAGCTGACGGTTGCCTGATAATTTGTCTCCTGCCAATGCAAGCAGCTATTGTTTTCTGCTATTTTGATTCATTTGAGGACTTACACGGACGCTTCGGTGAAGGATCTTTACAAAATCATCACCAATTGAAAAAAATACATTCACAGCCATTGCGTTTAGGATCAACCCTTGAAAAATATACTAGGTCATAACTGTATGGTCCAGGATTGACAACTTATTCCTTCTGATATGACTTGTCAAATTTTAATTATTTTGTTTCCGCAAATGTCTAGCATGGCTAAGTACATCTCAAAGATTTCTGCAAATGCCCCCCTTGATCCGTAAAAATTCTTCCAAAAAGTGCATTATCTTTGTTTTAAACCAGCATTTAGCTGTCACCCAACAAACTTTCAATAATCATCAAGGCTTACAGTCTTGTTATTTCATCTCAGCTCTTGCATTTATCCAAACACTTCACAATAGGCTGAAGCACCACAAAGGCCGCATTTTTATGACCGAGTTGAGAATAGTAGTGTGCAGTCATTTCTTCGTCTGGTGGACGCACGCGCGAGGCGAGCGCAATGGGCGAGTCTCGTGCACTGGTGGAAGCTTCAAATCACTGTTCCACGTGAGAACACTAGATCATACTCTGAAAAAGCAGCCAACTTTCCCACCTCAAAACTGCTCTAACGCCAAGAGATATATTTATTACCAGCCCCTGAAGGTTTCACACGTTTTGTCACTTCTCGTAAAGTAATGAACGTTGTCAACTAATCGCTAGTGTTTTCAACTTGAAGGCCACCAATTTAACGTCAGTCCATCGCTTTGTTCAGCCGGAGAATCTTCATGCTTAGGAAAAGAGTAATTAACGTGCTCAGGCAATATGCGGAGATCCATCTGTAGTATCTTAACAGAGGCTGTTTGTTTTCAAGTTTCTATCATGGTTTATGCCATACTGAAGTATTCAAATGCTGCATATGAAATGATTTTCACAACGGAAGAGATATCAGAAGAACAGTATGGACTTGAGTCGGAAAGCTTAAAAAGTATTTCGACAAAATACTCCTCTTTCAAGAACATTCGCACTTAGTGCTCTCAGATGACTTTTACATTCGCCTCCCACGTTAAAGAACCAAACTTTAACAAAAGGAAAACCAACATTTTTATTTTAGTTTTACTTAATTGTGTCTGGAGTTGACACGTTGGGCTGGTTATTAAAACAATGTTCAGCCGTTGTTTAACAAAACCTCATTCTAAACTATCTTGAATTTAGATTAATCTTTTTATCTGAACATATGTTTTTGTGAACAGTGTCAAGAGGGCCGAAAGCTAGCAGTGGAAGGGTATTTATTTAACGAAAAGAACCCTCTTATAAACAACACTTAAGGTCCAATGCTTGCGTAAAGCCGCGATTTGGGTTAGACCTTGTGAAAAAATATGTGGCCTATTGTATTTCAAGCGAAGAAACAACATTCGAAGAACACGAGGCAACAAATCAACTAACACTGTTTTCAAGAATAGGAGCGTTTTTTTGTTTTAGGCGCGACACTTAACACCAAGCAGTCCGTCCAGAAAGACATTCTTTTGCTTGACGTGACAGATAATTATAACAATTTATTGATAAAGATTCAGGAGTCAGGGCTCTGCTAGAGGCGGATGACCATGTTTACGTATGTTCCTCATCTGACGTCATGGTTAGACTCCGCAGGTAAAAATCACTCAGGATGATAAGATGCACGGAAGCTTCATCTAAGATGATGCTGATGCGAAACGAGAAGATATTAACACCGTGTTGCTAGAGATTGTCTTGCAGAAGTATTCTATCCTTCTTACCGCACAGGAGGGTCTTATGTTTTATCCTCCAGTGTTCTTCCTTTATTATTTCAAGCGGTACAGAAGCGAACTGCGATCCCGTTGAAGATGCATGGTTACATGGGTATCTTGGCCAGGGTATTTAGCCTAAAACCAGTTGATATACCTGGTTTTCATTTCTGGAGAAAGCTGGAACATTATGGGAAGTGTGACTAGTCTTCAGCCATTGTCATGGGACATGGTTTTGCGTTGGAAGACTTCATTTGTATAGAAAAGAAACTTACAGAGGCGAACGAACTTCCTAGAAGTTATTATAAATGTCTATTAGGTAGGTTTTGTATTTATTTACATAACCTGTGTTGTTTTCCTCTTTCTTGTCTGATTCATATTTCGCTTAAGGAGAAACCTTTGATGCACACCTCAAATGATAAAGAAGCAAATGTTATCGCTCCAATGTGGTTTGTCTATAGGTGACTGAAGGTTATTCTCCTGAAACTGGAGAATGTCCGCGTGATGTTCCGTAAATAGTATTCCCGTTTTAATCTCCGCGACCAATACGATAAAAGTCTTGAGACGAAGTACACTCAAGAAACACCAATTAGCTTTTAAAGACAATATTAAAAACTTACTGCTCATTGCGACTTGAGATCGAAAATTATCCTCAACGGACGCCGCCATATTAAGAAGCACTTGGAAACAAGGCCGCACACGTAAAACTATAATGCACAGTTCATGGACTTCTGCTCTTGTTTCCGCAAAAATTTAGTATTCTGGTCAAGAATGCCTTTGTGTGTAGCCTCTGATCGTTTGTGGAGATCGCTAAGAGCTTGCATAAAAGGAGCGAGACTTTGTTGCGTTACAGTGAGATAGTCAGGCTGCGGGGCAAGATTCAAAACGGCGCCTTTCACTATCGAATTTAAAGCGCATTTGGAGACAATCGTCAACGGATAAGATTATGCGGTCAATATCAAAATTTCATATTTACTTTTCAATGATGAATATTGAACATGTTTTCTGGAGAAAAGTTTCCCTTTAGTACACCATAAACGTTTGGTCATAATAACAATAAACATAATTGTAATCAAATACTAAGAAAAAAATTCAAACAACTTGTGTGCTAAGTAAACGTTGTTTTTAATACAAACACACCTTGATAATTGTCACACGCTACCTCTAAGATCTGAGACGGTACGTTTACCATAACATATCCTGAAACGCTTGACCTAAAAGTTAAATTACTTCCCAGAGAAGAAACGGGGAAAGGGTGGGATGCCTCGAATTTTTAGAGGAGAAGAAATTGTAATCTAAAAAATTTGTCATTAAAATGGGAAATAACCGCGACGAGCATAAATGAGACTTTAAAAACTTCTTGAAATCGTAACGAGTGATTTATATCACAACAAAGAGAGTCTTTCAATTGTAACTTCTTATTAATATTTATTGCCAGCCTTACAGAAATAAAGTTGAAAGTGAGCACTTCAGCAACAAAGTAAGCAGAAGGTACGGTTTTTCATGCACTGAAGGCCAGATGCCCAATCAGTGTAAAGACGTATGCACTTAGTTGACTTGAAACGTGTGCTGAGTGGCTTGAACCGTATAGGAGACTTATATCTGCATGTGGAGAAAAATATGTAAGTACTAGAATAGAAAGATAAACAGGGATTAGACGCCAAAATGTTTGTAACCCTCCATAAGGGTGATACAAAGGCATCCCTATCCTGCAGATTTTCGGTTGCGCGCAAAATGTAAACAAAGACTAGTACAGTTATTTTTTCATTGGATTTCTCTAACGTGTTTTGCTCATGTATATGAAACTCGTGAGAATGAAGATGGCATGCGTACGATGTAAATTAACCTTGCAAACGGGCGTGCATGTCAAGCAACCGAGATCATCCTTTACAACAAACAAATTTCGTTTCATAATCGACATCACTTGTAAAGAGAGCTTTCAAAACGCCAAATACGCAGAGTAACCTTATTCATCATCTTGGTAAAATATTACACTTCAGCATACAATTGTTCTGACAAAAAAAAAGAAATCTTCAGATGAATTTATTAACAAAGTATCCTTGGAAATAAGGAAATTGTCCTTAATAGAAGGATGCGTTCTGGTTTTGAATAGTTTGATTTGTAGTCTTATTTAGCTGTCCCATCAGGACAGGCATTTGTTTCCACTTGCAGAGGCTGTTAGGAAAGCATCTTAAAATACTAGTTCATGATCATTTTCGACTTTTTTTCGGATACAGTCATTTTGATGATTGGAAAAGTATCAATTCGATGCTTTTTTACAATCGACTCTTTGGAAGCAATAACTATCTCTCTTACTTACGTCCTCCAACACACACTTCGGGAAAATTCGTCTCTTCAACAAATCGACAATGGTTTAGCGTGGTCTGTTCTCATATTGACAACGATATTCGTCATCAGTGGTCACAACGAGACGCAGATAAAGCACTGTCGATTTGTTTTTTTTACGATAATATCGACGTCAATTAAAACGATTCTCTCAGAGCGTGACACGTTGATGCGAGAAGCGTTGTTTGTATTCTTAGAGATCGACAACGGAATATTGACCGATCAGATTGCGACATTACCGTCAATTGGGTTAAAATATCCTTCCTTACCTATGCATTCTCCGTGATAACACTCTTCATTCTCTGCGCAATTACATTCCTCCTCTTCTTTCTCAGCTTGAAAAGAGGCAAATTTGCATTTTCAAAAATGCATCATTGGATATGGTGGATTTGAAATGTTCTGTAGTGAAAAGCCCTTGCTGCGCTACGTCTGTACTGTCAAGCGGGACTCGAGACTACGTCCTCCCAGTAGGATTACATCAATATCGGTATCTGGGAAATTGCCCACCTACCCCTCCCCTAATCGTGCTTTGTTGATAATATTTATGAATCTCTTTCCGAAGTGTAGAGCTTATCACACTCCCCATTGGAACGTTGGATCAATATCAGTATCTGGGCAACTACCCACCTACCCCTCCCCTAACCCAACATTAACCCTAACTTGTTATTAATTGACTGTTGTTGGGTCAGGGGAGGGGTAGGTGGGCAGTTGCTCAGATACTGATATTGGTGTGTGGGGGGGGAAAGGAACGTTTTTGATGGCGTCGTAAACTCAAAACCAAAGGTATCGCAACGACCCATCAGAAGAGAGAATTATATCTCTAAGAGCCAATGAGAACCCAAAGCCAAACAACCGAGCTATCTAAAGCATGGGAGAACCCGGGTGAACGAGTCGTGATTGGTTTCAGTTTTGCTATTAGTTTAGATTGGTTGGTTCTTATCGATTTACAAAACGAAGTAAACTAATTAAAAGTAATCCCGGATGACTTTTGACACTCAGTTGAAAATTGCTCCATGCGCTCTCACCTTTTGAGCACTTAATTGCAATAATCCATTAGATATTTCTCATGTGTCCCTTAATCTACATCACAGATCCTCTTAAAATGGTTGCCAGATTAAGCTGAAGTAAAAATGCTTACTTTGCGTTTTCTTCAAATTGAAAAACGTTTCCTCGGCGGGACGTTTTTATGACGTTTAATTTGGGAAAATCCCGCGAACGGAAATAGCAAAAAAAATGACAATAATGATAATTTTAATATACTGTACTAACAATTTTCCTACTAATGATAATAATTACAATAAATATGACGATAGTACAATTTACCTCTTAGAGAATGATACGTTGTTACAGGCATCTCATTAAATCGGTATGCTCCTCAGTATAATTTTGCGGAAAAACATTTTGAGACGTATGTTATCTTTGCGATTAAAACCCCATTCACACCACAGAAAAACATTTTTATTTGAACCGTTTTGAAATGAAAGAAAATTAGAATCAGAGAACTGAAAAGGTGAATTTTCCTTGGGATTCAAGTAATCGCAACTTTTTTTTTTCATTGCACTACATTTGAAGTCGACAAACATCGGTTTCAGCAGCTTCTACGGAGAAGAAAATTTTCAACCTCGTTTAACATAACATCTTTAAAACATGTTTAAGCTATGGTGTGAATAGGCCTTACGGTTCTCTCGTTCACGCTTGCTCGTAACACTCTTTTGACTGATCTTATGGTCGCGATTGAGACAACTACGTCGTTTATGTGAAAAGTTTTAAAAACGTACCTTCCTCAACACATTTATCATATCTCTTCACAAATCCTAGTTTACAGGGACAAGAAAACCACCCTCGGTGGTTTCTACATTCAGTGCCATCATCAGTGCAGGGAGACTCGTCAGCAGCACATTCGTTTATGTCTAAAATGAAAGATGATAAATTGTGTTCACTTAACTGAGATCATTCCTTCCTTTTAAACAGCAAACGAGACTATATAAAGCATTCATCGTCAATCTAAAGTTTGTTTAAGTAAAAGCTTGAATTTAGAAGCATAGTTTCAGTTTTACATATTACTCAAAAACGGAGTAGCCCATTCTCGACCAACCCTCACCTCCTTGTATCTTGGTGACAGATAGCAAAAATAACTGTAACAACAGTTATGATAATTTTAATAAATGATGGTAATAGGACCGAGTGGAGTTCAATTCGATCTGTAATCATGCGAGAGGTTACAAAATCAGACGACCGCAAAGCGGGAGTCCGATTTGTCAATCGTAACATGAAAATAATTTAAAAAATCAAGTACATCTATTTGAGAAAATATCTCCAGTAGAGACATTGCCTTAACTAAAAAATTCCTCCATTTTGGAAATTCCCCAGTTTTGTAGGGTATGTAGTTGTTGTATGGTTATTGTAATCAGTTTGTGATTGATGAATTTAGCTGAGTGGACTTAGTATGATTGGCTGCTCTAACCGTCCGATTACAGGTGTCCGATTACAGCCGACCATCCGACTACAGCCGACCATCCGATTACAGCCGATCATCCGACTTCATTGTACGATTATAATTCTTAAGAATAATTAGTGAAAAATAAAGTAGCTAATGCACCCATCACTCTTGAGGAAATTGTAATGGTTACATGATGATTATACCACAAACGAGAGCTGTTAAGAACCAGTCATATTCTAGCATTTTGTTATTGACACAATTACATAAGTAACAATAACATGAATAATGTTAACATTATAACGACAACTACCCCAACAATGATAACTGTAACGATAACATTGACCATAACCATTCCCATAACAGTGTCGATGAAGCCTGCAGTCAACAATAACGATTGTTATAAAAATAACAGTAATAGTTATAAAAATAATAACAATAATGATGGGATTCAGCAATGGACACTCCACAAGGTGGCTCTTGTTGTCCACTGTGACCATCCATGTCCAACTGAAATTTGGAATGTTCGTTTTTA